ACCATCAGTGTGGCCACCAGATAAACGCGTTTCATTTTGTTATATGGAGCGAAAAACATTGTACCCAAATAAAGAATCTCAACGTGATTGTCATGCAAAAGATGGAAATCCATTTGGTCCATTTTGGGATACCTTTAATATCGATTTTATTGCATCTGAATTTTATGGACCACTACATTTCGATGTACATCATAGTGCTATAGCAGCTAAATGGCAAACAAAGTATTCACCCAAAGAATGGCCAGTACTTGCATTCACAGGTGCACCCGCTAGCTTTCCAGTCCAACTTGAAAATCGCGATCTTCAGCGTTATGTTACTTGGAATTCAAAGATAATTAATTCAGCGCAAGATTTTATACGTAATGAACTACCTCGTGGCGCTTTTATTGGTATTCATTTACGGAATGGAATTGATTGGGTGAAAGCCTGTGAACATATTAAAGATAGCCAACAACTTTTTGCTTCCCCACAATGTCTTGGATACAGAAATGAACGTGGTTCCTTATTTCCCGAATTATGTATGCCGTCGAAAGAGTTAATTATAAGACAAATAAAGCGATTGGTTAAAAATGTAAAGCAAATGTATCCTAAAAATGAAGTACGTTCCATATTTGTGGCATCTGATGCAAATCATATGATAACAGATCTCAATAACGCCTTGCTTAGAATGAATATAACCGCTTATAAATTAACAAATGATAATCCTCATTTAGATTTAGCGATACTAGGTCAAGCTAATCATTTCATAGGTAATTGCATTTCATCATATACTGCATTTGTTAAACGCGAACGGGATGTGAAAGGGTTACCATCTTATTTTTGGGCATATCCTAAAGAGAAAGATCGTCAACATTCTAAAGTACATGAAGAATTGTAAAAATGAATAGCAGTTCCCCAATTCTTCATAAACATTCCTACAATTACAAATGTTGAATAAGATGAAAAACGAATTTTGTTGATAAAGGTCATACACACCAAAGCGAATGTTTGCGAACGAACGAACTTTTACAAGTACGATTACCAGCGAATGTTCGTTCATTCGCAAGCGTTCGCTTTGGTGTGGATGCACCTTAAGAATGAAATTAACACATAATATTCTATTAAGTTTTAGAGTGTCATTTCTTTTTATATTTATTTTACTTTATAATTACTAGGTATTAGTATTACTTTTATAGTTGGTGGCTAAAAAAATTTTATTTAGTATTTTCAAATAGTGAAAATGATTTAAATTTTTTTAAAACTAAGCTACTTTATATGGTGACTATACTCAATATTATTTAGGAATTATTGTTAAAATAATTACGTTTTTAATTTTATCAACTTTGAATTTACAGCATGTTTACATTATCGCAATTAACTTGACAAATGTGCATCAATAAGTGTCATTTGTATTTAATATAAATACAAAAATGTGATATTGAGGTTCGATAATTTTAAGTGTAAACATACTATTATTATGAAAAGAATTTTTTGCAATTCTATTTAAAAATTATGGTCCTTGTTGTTGCATTCAGTTCAGTCTAAATGTAGCATTTTAATATTTAACAATACTCAAATATATCAAATCCGAATTCCTTTTAGCATATAAATCAAAATAATATTTCATTTGCGTACTTTTTATTTTAATATAAAAGTTTATAATGTATTAAATTTCGACAGCAATAAAAATTGAAATAAAAGTACTTAACCATTCATCTTTAAATTTAAGTAGAAAATTATTTCCTAATTATTTGATAAAGACGCTTAGTCAATTGCTCATGAAAAACATGGTGAATATTATGTTCTTGAATATTAATTAAATCAAACCACTAAGTTATATATCAATGTATCAATCGTTGATTGCGGGCTAATTCTAGTTGGGCAGCAGACACATTTGCCAATCCTTCACGTACACTGCTGAGGCTATCTTTCCATGAATGTAAAAGATCACGTAGTTGCTCCCACTGTGTGGTTCCAAATGTACGATGCATAGTCGATGATATATGAACTTTTCGATTCGCTTGATCTAATCTTGCTCTCACCAACTTTGTTTTGAGCACTTCAATGACGAACGGTTCAACCTCATCTTCTGAAATTTGCAACTCTTTTGTCAAGGTTTCAAAAGACATTTCAGGATTACTTTCAGCCAATTGCATAAATGTTAACAGCCGCATTTTTTTCATATTTTGTTCATGATTTAAACCTTGTGAGTTAACAAATTCTTTATGATCTTCATAAAATTGTATATATGATGGCAGTTTGTCAGACACGAAAATTGAAAGTAAATCATGTATAAGATCACCTTCCAGAAAACGTACTGGCTTTAATGCCAGTAGTGGATCAAGAAGGAATGTGTTTGGATCAGCTAAAGCTGTAACAATACACTTCATTGCATCTTCACGGGCGACACAAGCATTATCAGCAGTATATGTTCCCAATAATTCTATCATTACCTTTGCTGATAACTCAATATTACTGTCCTTGGTGACATCGTGTAATAAGCGATAAAGTTTTTGCATTTGCTCACCTGAAGGTGGACAATTTGCAAAGTGCGATTTTAACTGATCAACACCACTGAAAACTTCCAAAACTTGATCGCACTGTTTAGCCACCTGCACAAGATGATAGTAAACATGGTAACGTAATGGGGAGGCTGTGTCCAAATTATTAAATAATCTCCATAGTGATTGTAAGCAAACTTTTGCAAGTGGAACATTTGGCGCTTTTGTCATCTTTTCACAATAAGCCAGTACAATATTTTCACCACGATCGAGAGGAATCTAATAAAATAATTCCATATTAATATATTTACATTTGAAAATCGTCATGATTTAAATTACCGTAATCATAATTGATACAATACTGTTTAGTATTCCATCGATTTGTGTTGGTTCACCATCTTTGAAACACACATCACAAACCCCGATAATTTTATGTAAATCATCTTCAACTCCTTTATTCGATTTCTCTGACGATATTTCTGCTCCAAGTTTTTTAAAGAACTTTCTCAATTCTTGTACCTATCAATAAATATACATAAAGTAACATTTGTTTTTGAGACATAACCTTAAATATTTCGTTGTTTTTAATCGCTTATTAACTGCAAAAATTATTGTGTTTATTTAATCTTATTATTTTACCTGTTCATCCAGCGACAAGTCAATAAAAACGGGAGGTGAATTCATTTTTTATAAATTGTTATATGTTTAATTATATGGAAAATTGCCACAAATCGAGTCGATATCGACAACCACACAAAATGAAAGAACCTAGCTTGCAATCGATGTGTCAAACTATGAGCAATTCACAATTAAAACATAGAAAAGTATTTGCAATAGATTTGAAAAACATTGAACGGCAATACTCTTTTTGTAAATATTCTATTATTTGTATAAATATCAACGAGTGTAATTTTACATTTAATAACATATAAACAAAAAATATTTATAAACAATAACTTATTTTTTTCAATAAAATTTTTAAAAGCAAACATCAAATTGTAATTTTTTTATTGATTTTAGTGCTTTTGATTTTTTTTCCCATTTTATCAACTACAGAGGTGTATTCTTTTGAAATTAATGCTGCAATAACAACTTATGGTTGCTAAATAACTACCTAAATCAGTAAACATATAACAAGTAAAAAAAAATTTTAAACGAATTTGTCGTTGATAAATACATAAATATGTACGTGTAGATAATTTTATAAAAAAAATTTATTATTTATATATAATACGAATGATACAAAGTATTTGATGAGCATTTTATATTGTATTTGAATTTATATAGAATTATAAATTTTTTAGGCTTTATCCATGATAACGAAGAAAAGTAGTGAAATAAGAACGATACAAAGAAATCGGCGCATTGACAATATATTTAAAAGTTTTAATAGATCCAGCTTTTCCGTAGGCAATACAAGATCGTCAATAAATTTGTTCATGTAATTTTTAAACTTCTAACTTCACTTGTTAATGTTAAGTGAATGGTATTTAACACTGATTTATTTTTTTTGCTATTAATTATAACTTTATTATCATTGTGTTTTGTGTTTCTTTATATATTGCATTTTTTAAATGAACATAACTATAAATTCCTTAATAAATAATTAGCGTATGACTTCTTCATATTTACTAACCTGTCAAGTTATTTTTACAAATTTTATTTAAAAAATTACTTTTTAAAAATATTTAAATTTACTCATTAACAGTCGCAACAGTTGTAAATATTAAACAGATGACTGGAGTGCTAGAGGCTTATTCGCACCACAAGGCTTATTTTAGCGCATTTTGGTTTTGCTTCGCATGTTAATTTTTAAGCGACATGTGTTCTATTGGAACATTATGTCAAAAGAATACACGTAAAATGATTAAATTAAATTAAACCTTCAATTTTGTAGTGTACATTACTTGTCTACTTTCGGTAAACTTTAATTATTTAATTTCATAAGTTCAATTTGTACTAAAGCAGTTAAACATTTTTTTATGATATATAGCATGCAATCATAAAGCATGTTTTTAAGATAAACAAAAAAGTTTACAAATTATTTGCGCTACTTTTATTTATATTTTCTTATATTATTCAAAACATATTTACTTTCATACCGCTTTATATGGATCTTTAAAATTATGAAACAAATAAAAATATTAAATTATATTTAATATTTAAGACAAACATACTTAATAATAAAAAAAATAATATCGAACTTTCAAAAAAATTAATTAATTAAAGTACTGTAGTGAATACAATCATTTGTCTTCATTAGAACACATTTTGTTAGACCCATTAGATCCATGTTGTCATTAGACCCATTACGAAACGTAAGAACAGACGAATTTATAATTTATGTCAAATTTATTATAATATAATTATAAAAAAATTAAAACGCGACTGCTTAGGTTGAAGTATCCTTCTTTATTGAATTTTTATTCTTACTCTACCTTAAAACTAGCAACTATATAATTGTGTTAGTACGCCGGCAAGCACTAACACAACAGAGAAGCATGTATACACTTTATTATCTCACTAAAGTGAGGTTTCATATTGCAGCAGTCTGGCTGCTTGGATATAGCTAAAGTCAATAATGGGAATATGCTGCGTAGACATATTCACAACATTGTACGTTAGCCATTCAAGGTTATTTTATATGCACATTAATATGAATTTATAGAATTATATATATACAAAGTTTATACATGCTATATTATAAAAGCACAAACGAATATTTAATCAAATCAGTTTTCTACCTCTCATATATGTAAATGAATTATATTATATTTAGTACAGCTGTATAATTTTTAATTTTCGAAATAACTTTTGGACTGTTCCTTACCATCTTATGCCTTCACAGGCATAAGAAGCGTCTGCCTAATTTACTTGAAATTATCTTCTTATATTTTTTAGGCTCTTAAGGCTAAGGCATAGTCACCAATATCTGGTACTTTATATCAATAGAACGGTAAGTACGCATCCAGTTTTCTATTCCGCTAACACCGTCAACACTAACAGATTAAATACATTTATTTGTAAACGTAAATATTAAGCCCTTTAAGTTTCTTTTCTTTCCCGATTATTATATTTTTTCCTAAAGCTTTTTTAAGCGGCGTTTTTAGTTGTTGCAGATCTTACAGTACGGCTTTCAATGATTTTCACATGTACATGATTTTCATGCACTAAAGTAATTCAATCATTAAATATAGATATGACATATAAATTGTACTATTTAATTGAATTCCTATCAATTAAACCTCTTCAAGCTACTACTTTGAATAAATACAATTTACTAAAGCTAAAATCAAAAAGAAACAAAAAAAATTTATATAACAGCTAAAGTGCTACTAAACAGTACTAAAGAAACTACAAAAAAAAATATTTTTAGGAAATAATCATGCTGAAAATGTTAACAAATACACTTTGAACGTTAAAATGTTTAGTAAATATGAATGAATAAGAATAAAAAAAATAATATATTTTGGTGTGTATATGTTATCTTAAAACAAAAAAAGATTTTTAAGTCAAGAAATTTAGAAACAATCAACTCCTTATGGATGCAAAAACATATAGAATAAATAAGGTACGTGTCACTAAATTGGTGTCTATACTATGGGTACTAGAATAGGAAAACATGCGAATGCAAACTGTAGATTTTGTGAAGACAATGAGGAGACGGCTATACATGTGCTGTTAGAATGCTCTGCGTTAATGCACATATGGACGAGGCTTCTGGGAATGTGTATTCTTACGGATGAAGTAATAACACTCTGTAAAGTAGGTTCTATACACATATATGTAAAAGTAGGTTTATTGACGCAACAGGGCTTAGAGAACTACTCTAAACCTAGAAGGGGGTACAATAAACCCGACGGTCGCAGTGCCACATCCCCTAACAATAATAATAATGATGGGTACTAGTCAGTGACGACTGCTCTAAGGTGCGGAGGTGTGCGGTGAACACCCTAACATAATTTGCAAAATGTTAAATAACATAGGTACATAAATTTATTAAGTATCTTCACATCAAGAATTATTATTATTTATTACATTTCCATATATATATATTTTTAAAGTTTTAGCAAAAACAATTAAATATAATTGTCTATGAAAACTCAATCAATTTGCTTCTGTTAGCTGCTATACTTGTTAGTTGTGCTCATATATTTGCAGCTCAAATCACAGAAAATTTCTATTATATTTCGTCTCTCCCCTTTGTGTGCAAAGAAGTTGACCACACATTCATACGTTGCATATGAACAAAATAATGTGTGTGTGCTCCCGTTCGTAATATCAGAAATAGAGATTTATATAGTGGGAATTGTATGAGAGTAATTTTCTGTTCTCTTCGAATATCAACTGCATGCATACGAATCCAACATGATGATTTGCCAAAGTGATTGCATGAGCGGCTGAAGTTTGCAGCTCATCTCACCATACATTTCTATCACATTTCGTCTCTCCCCTTTTAACAGTAACACCCACGAATTTCTGTTCTTACTGTGCGGAGTACATGTGCGCACATTTGTACGTTGCAAGTGAGTTTGATTTTGTTTGATCACTGGATAAACATGTATGGTTCTGAGTTAAAACTCTTTTGTTTGAAAAAAGTTGGTTTGATGTTACAAGTATATGAAAAGTTTTGTTTTTGATATAATATTAAATTTATATATAAATTATTAATTTAATTTGTTTAATATGTTATTTTGTTAATGAATTGTTAATATAATATTACGAATATATTGTTGCCTAACATAATATAGTTATTATTAATAAAACATCTCATATATTTTAATATAAGTGGTACATGTAAAAACAACATTATAGAAGGGCCGCACACCCTTCCAGATAGGGCACGCGTCGTCACTGGTACTAGTTCATATTAAACTTTTTGCTAATATATGACTATACATTTTGTAGAATGTGAATAGAAATACAATACACGTTCGTATTTTTTTACATAGCGTTGATACAATATAAACTATAGTCATTAGTATACTAAAACCAGAAGAATCGGATATATAGTTATATAAAATCTAAGATATTATTAAAAGAATAAATTCAAATATGGTAACTTAAACTATATATCGATGCCTTGAATCCAGAGAATTATTAATACTTACTATACTAAATTTATGTTGTGATACAAAGAGACCTGTTGATTACATGACGGTATAATAGATAGTATGTGGGTGGAAAGATAATGTTAAAGATTTAAAGTGTAGTTGAAATGCTAATTGAAGCTAGTCTGGATCAAAGTAAACGGATGTGAGTGCGTTTGTTTGGGCATGGAAACAGATTGGCGACGTCATGTTAAATAAAGCTGTAGTTAGAACATAGATTGTTCATTACTTAATGCTGTCTATAGGTTTTAAGAGGAGCGCTATGCAATACAAATCAAAAGTGGTCGGGAAGTAAATATTTGTTCGTTATAAATATTTGTTCATATTCGATTTCATCGATATTAACAACAATGCAATATGAGTCAATTAATTCATTACACAAGAAATTCACCTAGTATACCAATAATTTATATTATAATGATACACTTCGAAAAAATCCATTCATAAAACGACTTACGAATTAGTTCCAAAAAATTTCAAATAAAAAGAATAATTTTTGTTTTATAAAATGATTTATTTTTATATTTCGATTTTCAAATAGATACGAAGCTAAGTATTATTATAAGTGAATATACAATTATAATATATAAAAATAGTTATATTTGAATTAAATAAAAACAAAAATTCATCCAAGAACAAAAAATTATGAATTAAACAAACAATATTTTTAGTTTCATACTTTATTCATTATATAGTGAAAAAATATTCAAAATTCAAATACTCATACTAAACTTTATCACATTCCTAAAAACATTAAACTCCCTAAAATTTTTAGGGATAAATAAACAATAAATTCTGTTGCATCTGTTGATTAAAGGATGATCAAATGCAAAAAAAAACTTGTCACAAATTCTGCCGATCAATCTTAAAAATATTAACTAAATTAAATTAATTTACCATAATTAGTAAGTTAAACTATATTACAAGTGAATTACCTTATAATTCTAAATTATAAACCCTAACTAAACATATTTCTTTTAGCGAAATATCTAATAATGGTGTAATAAATAATTCTAACTAAACTCTATTACATAATCGAACATAATCCAGAGGTTTCGATACCACATTCTACTTTCTTAGTCTTCTTCAGTGTTACATTCTGCAATTCTGGTTTGAAATCAAATTTAATTGTTTCTTCAATTGGCGGCGATGATCTCTGAGATGCAGTCGTTGGCGACATACTCTGAGGGCATCGTAAGACAGTGCTGTTGTCACTAGTATTACTTGTCAGTGCTGTGTTATTACTACTTTTTGAGCTTTCATTAACAGATTTAGAGGGGTTGGAAGATACAACACTAGCGATTGTGCTTATTGTTGCACCACCACCACAAAGAACAGGAATTGTATTTATTGTTTGTATAGTACTTATGTTACCATGGCTTAAACTATTTTTATTTACATCATTTACTTCAGAATTTAAATTAGAACTATTATTATGAGATGTACTTGATGAAGATGTTGTTATAATAGATGATGAAACTGAAACGTTACTATTTGTTGAAACAGTATTTTTCGTTATATTTATTTTAATCTTATTAACTAAATTGCTAAGTGGAATTGCTGGTGTTGGACCAGATATCGAAAGATTATGTCCAACATCAGGCTCCAAATTACCATCAATAGATATATTAAGATCCATAGAGGCTGTGTTCTCTAATGGTTCAATTATTCCAGTTAAAGTAAGAGACTCAGTTGAAGGTCTTCGTTCAGTTGCAGGAGATGCCGTTGAAGCGATTGTTTGTGTTTGTGTTTCTTCTAATATAAGTTATTTAAAAGCATGTAAGACAATTTTTTATTAATTAAATACATACCACTGCTTTGTACTGATATTTCTTCATCTGGCCTGATGAGGACTGTGCCAACATCTTCAAAACCATCATCATCTTCTTCATCTTTTGGTTCTTCTTTTATTTTGACATTCATAAAAGATAACTGCGATGTTTCGTCGCATTCAGTTGGTTCTTTCTCGACGTATGTGTCCAAGTCAGTAAAAGGTATGTTTGGTTCTTCGATTTCAACATCTGATTCCACAGTTTCAATAAACTTATCATCGCTTTTACTATCTGTAGAAATGGCCATTTCTTCTCTGCTTACGTTAGCTGGTACATATTCTTCGTCATCATCGACAATTTCAGTAACTGATGGCTCTTCGTTTGGCAATACTATAACATCATCGTCGTCATCCTCTTCATCATCTGCAATGGTTACTGACAACTTTGCTGCTTCTAAATTAAAAATAAAATTAACATTTTATAAATTAATTTAAATAGTTTTTAATCAAAGAGTATTATTTGAGGGGTTATCAGTCAAAATTATTATTTACAACTAATGATAAATAAGCTGAAAAATATAATACATTTATTTTATAAAATATTTTATTTATTATATGACTTAATAATGAACTAAAAATCTCCTACCTTCATCAACTGTAATTTTAATTACATTATCGACAGCGTTATCATCTTCTTCTGTAATTTTAGAGTCCTCTTTCAATTCTTCTACCTTTGGCGGATTGAGTGCAGTCTTAAAAAAAATTTATTTTTTTAAATATACAATTCAGTTTATTATTTATAACTTATATATTTGAGTATATTCACCTTATAATCTTCATAACAAAGTGGGTGGTATATTTTGTCTTCGACTCTTATGGCTGAACGTAGATGCCATTCTTCATGTTCTTCATTATAAAATTGTTCAAATTTCTCGTGACACATATCACAGCAGCGATCAACATCATTAGCTCCAGCTGGGCAACTAGGCGCTGGCGAATTTATTGAACGTTGATTGGAAACATCATCATTTGCATCTATTTCATTCAGTTGTGTCTCAAAAAAGTTCTTTTCTCGTTCTTCAAGATCTTCAATTTCTTCATACTGCGCCCAATCATTTAGTTCATAATACCACTTACGAGAATGTGCTTTTCTCGTTGAGTCTCGTTCTCTTCTATTTTGTCTAAAATGCCAATCCAAGTGTTGACTATACTTAATTGTTTGTTCAGGCGGAAATCGAACACCACAACTACTGCATTGCATGCCTGAAAATAATGTAGCCACAATAGCTGACTGGCGCAACTTAATTGTTTCTGGCTTTGCTAAATCAATAGGACGAATTACTTCAATAGGCTCCTCAACAACATCAGGATTCGTAAGTTCTTCCTTTACTGTTGAATTTTGAGTTGAATTTGTGGATGAAGAAGTTGTCGTACTGGTTAAAAGCCCTGTTGAAACTAATTTTTGAAGTAATTCATCGATGTTAATTTTGCTTAGCACATCTGTAGGTATGCTTGGAACCGAAGTATTTGTTGGCACTACTCCGTCATTTGTCGTAGATATGTTTTCTTCACTTTTAACTTCAATACTTTCTGTTGTTGTATTTGGTGGCGTTATTGTGGACTGATTTTGATTAGGTGATGCAGTTGTTTCAACCAAATTTTCGGAATCATTTGTTTCTACACTAATAGTTTCAGTGGGATTTGTGTTAACATATCTCATATTTTGGATTTTTATTTTTCCAGGTTCAACATCTTCAGGTAAAGCACTAAAACGTATGAAATGCTTATCATCACCAAGTTCATAACTTTTAGGAAGTCCACCAAATTCAACGTCTGCAGCAACACCATCTAACAGTACCGTAAGTAAATTATCTGCAAATTGTATAGTATGCTGTTTTTCTCCCAAATTAAAAGTCTGCAGTTTAGCATCAATAAATATTCCAATAACTATATGTGCATCTACAATCATGGTAATTTTACCAATAACTAAATCTCGACGAATTGGCCCAATATTTACTTTAGGTGGTGGCCCCTCTGCTTGCAAATGTCGAATATTTTTACCAATTGGAACTGGTATAATAGAACCACCAAAGAATATTTCATACCATTGATCATCAATATAGAGTTCACGTGAAGGAAAGCCAAATTTCATTCTATGTGGTTCACCTTTAATGGTTACTACTTTATAGTCATCATTAAAATGCATTGCAAACGTTTCATCGTCTATAGAAATTGATCTTTGACCAGGTTGAAAACGTATTTCACGTGGCTGATCCATTTCCATAAAAACAATTGCCACTTCATCATATATACGTATTTCTTTAGCACAGCTATCAATCGTAATTGTGCGAACTAAATTTTCTTGTGGGTTGTCAATCGAATTGCAGGGCTTTTTCGATTGTTGCACTGAAGCTGGTGCAATATTAAAGCTAACTGGAGGTTGTGGCGGTGGTGGAACTTTTGAAATCATCATTGGTGGTATTGCATTACCAAAAGGTGGTACTGGCATTCCAGTACCCATTTGCCAAGGCATTTGCGGTAAATGTAAGTTTGGATTTGGTAATGGTGGCATCGGTGGATGAGGTACTAAAC